TTAAAGTCTTTGACACAAAAGACAAGTATAATTCGTTGAATAAAATCAAAACCAATTGTCACTTAATCTGTTGAATAATATGATGTAATTTGTTGTTAATGCTACAACATTGTTTTATTTCTGTAGGTACTAAATCTCAGTCAAGCCCTACGAGACGGCAAGGCACCAGTCCAACTTGTGCAAATGCCACTGGTTATTGTAGAAAGAAGTAAATCCGGTGAACATGGTCGGGTGCGAACTTTGAGCGATTCATTTACACAGAGTTTTCAAAATAAGTCACCATTCTTTTCATGGTGTTAACATTATCAGTATTTTTGAATCAATTTTGGGGGTATTTTTTTAATCTGCTGTAAAAAAAAGGAAACCTTAAAAAAATGTATGGTTACATGTATTTGTGTGTGAGCTTTCTTTGTAACACTGTTCTTCATTGGTTGATTTGACCTGTTAAAGTATACGAGGGTGTTTATTGGCCAATCAGGGTGTTAGTTACATATTCTTTATGCATTTACAGTTTTGGGTTCATATCACATATAATCAGCAAAAATAATGCATTCTGTCTGATTGCCATTACGTTATTATTGGTCAAACAAAATGTTTTTTTGGTGTGTGTTATTTTCTGGTTGATTTGCATCTATTCAGCAACTACAAGTTTGTACCTGGTAGCAACATTTATCACGATTGTGAGAACTTACCAGAATAGAACACACAACAATTAACACAGTATAGCATGTTAAACTAATCAAGTGTGGACAATTTTCAGAGACAACAAAATTTCTTCATTGTGGCTTTTTTAGTAATCTCAAGGAAGTTTATTATAATTGTGAACTACCTATTGTTCTTTATTAGTTGCCAAAGCTCAGATTAACTGCTTCTTACATGCACAAGCCACTTCAAATTCTATTCAGGAATAAGTAATATACACCAAGCTGTGGCTTGATGAAATGAACTTGGATGAACAAAATGGTGGATTTGATGACTTAATCAGACACATATCATATGACACTGAAACCCATAAATGCTGCCCTGCATAGAGTTGTGTGATGCAAATTACTTTTGTTGCTATGTTTTTTTTAAATCTGACTTTTACTTCAAAAAATCTAATAGTGTTCGGAAATATGTTAAGTTTTTTGTGAAAGTAAACTACCGGTATATACAATGTTTTAGAATACAATACTTGAAGTTGTGGTTTCAGACAGCAAAATTTGAACTGCCAGCATTTTGTATTATTGCACAGAAAAAAAAAACCCTTCAATATGGTAAGCTGTGGGGCAATAATAAAAAAAAAATGACATTTTCCTTGAACACTGGATTTTTTGAAAAATAACCAGACTTTTTTTTTGTATATAATAACAATCACGTCGAGATGTAAATATTATTAAACATGGTGCCCAACTCATAAACACCTTTATGTAAATATTTGCTTTTTTGATCAAAAAGATTGTAAATGTACATTTGCATTGTGTTGTATGATTCCTTGCATTTATCTGTACACCATTAAACTGATTTATTTTTATGAATCAACTGTCAATCAAACATCAGATTTACAGGATGGTTAACCCTTTGAGCATCAGAGTCAACTTCAGGCACCATCCAAAAAATATTTCCATTTTATAAAGTGTGCTCTTTTCCACATGATCACTTTGATTGAAAGTATTGTCACATTTTGTCTGTTTGGTTCAAATTTTAAATTGAATTCAGTAAAAATTACGAAACTATGAATAAATTTATCTAAATTAGAGCGGTAAGAAAATTTGGTGCTCAAGGGGTTTAAAGAATCCGGACAAAACGCCTTCAGTACTGTACATGTTAAAACATTTGAATGCCAAATTCAACTTCTGTTACTTTTTACAAAATAAACTTAAATAAGCTAAGTTTTTCCAAACTTTTGATCAAGACTTTTCGATAATGAGAAATTATGCACATTTGGTCCAAAATAACCCCCAAAATTTGGATAAAAATGATGGCATTCAAGGGGTTTTTAATTTTGAAGAAATGCAATGCAACATTGATTTGGTGCAATAAACCAAAATATGTGCATGGATATGAACTGTGAAACTGGGAGGTGTCGCTTATGCAGATGGCCATAGCTTGTCATTCTTCACAAATAAGCCGTGAGCCTTTGCATTGTTTTCATTGCTTAGGACTTGGAATATTAGTTTGTGAAGATCACTTTGTCTAATGGTTGCACAGTTTCAGTCTAAGACTGTAATGAGTTCTACATCTCACTGCCAATCACCATGCATTTTCTTTGTCACATTTGACCAATCAGTATCAAGTAGTCAGAAAAATATAGTAACCACAAATAATACTTTGAATAGATGCGATAATGGTTTTGTTAATCACACAGATTTTGATATCTCAACATTGGTAGAAAAACAATTTTCAGTTTTAAAGTTAATTTTTATTGGTATCCTGTGAATAAGGGGGGAAGAGCTGAATTGTATATTAAAACATCTTACTTAATTCACATGTCTGAAAATGTGTAATTTGCTGAATAAAAGTATGAAAATTTATATTTGTCTTGTTGCAATTAATTTAAATTAATGTATTGAATGGTACATTCTCACAGTTGAGATGAAGTATTATATATACGGCAGAATTTGATGCATCAAAAAACCTGTCAAACAAGCTGTTCTGTGATTGGTTTAACTGTTAGGGTTGGGTAACCAATCAGGCACAATCTTGTAGTATTTTGCATTGACTCCATTCTCACAATTTGTTCATGTAATATTAATGAATATCCCATTTGCTCTATTAGAAGTGAACTTGAATAATAAACAATCCTTCATTGTATACTTATCAATCTGTAAACAGCCATCGCTGAAATGTGGACACTGAAAGCCATAGCATACACTGACATCATACATTAAACCACTTGCAATTGAAAGGTCTCCAGCGGACGCCATCTACTGAATTCCAGTTCTGTCAGACAAACCTCAATCATTATCCAACAAGATGACAACTTGCCAGGGGCCCTGAGCGAGGCTAAGGCTCACTCTGATAGTTTTATATGCCAATTTTCATAATAGTGTGTGCAGCGAGACATAAATTTGTAAGGTCCCCATCAAAAGACTGCTATTGACGCTTTAAATTAGAATATTCCCGGGGGCGGACATCCGGGCATTTTCACCACCTGGCAACCATCACGGTGAATACAAAGGCCGAAAACTCTCAGAAAACGGTACTTTGGGATGGTTGTTGAGACTCCCCTGAACAGTATAACAAGATTACCCCTACATGTGTAACATATATAAATTCGGTTGTTCAGGATTACTTCAAAGTTAAGTTTGTGTTGTTTTCTTGAATTTAGCTATTTTCACCGGCTCCTCGACCGGCGTTCCACAACAGTGCACACAGAGCCCATAGAAATACAGTGATACGTGTCATAGCAAATGATATACTGGTACATGTGAACTGCAGTAAAACCTGTCTTAACTGAACATATCTGTATCCCGAAAGATAATCCCTCTGGCCTAATGTTTTTTTTCAACTAAAATGATAAAATCAATTGAGAGCCCCTGTATTAAACAGAATTAAACTCAAATCACTATACATGTATGTATTTTGTTGGTGTAATGTATTTTATTGTGAATCACCATGACTTCAATTGACTTGTCTGACAGATATAAACTGGTCATTACACACAGATAATTAGTGAAGCTGCATGTGTTACTACCCGGTACATGTATTGCCAACTTTCCTAGTGCACCATGTGTTATTACAAAGTTCCTGGTACACAAATCAAGCATAAATTTGGAGGCATACAAGCTACATAAAACTCTTGTTATCGCAACTGCACTTTTGATATTGTCCTTAATAAGGGAAAAATAACCAGGTCCTTCTTGATGAGAGACATTGAACTATGATTTCTTTGTCACTGTTGATACCGGTAGTTGCAGTTGATACTGACATCTAGTATGCAAAAGTGATGTTAGGAACTGCATTGTCTTTTTACATTTGCATGTAACAGCATCAACTTGCAAAATCTCATGTGACCACAGTTTGGCCAATCACAGCACAGGATCTGAATAGGATTCACTTCTTCTCTTTGACATCTTTGGGTTTTGCAGACCTTGCAAATTGCTGGTGACAATAGTTAAGGAATCAGTATAGTGAAGCATAAAGTCTATGAAGTATGAAAACTATGATTTGGAAAAAGTTTTTATATATATCCATCATGATGACAACCATTTAATTTCACAAAATTATTATATTCAAATTTGTCTGGATATGAGACCTTGGTATTGCTCGCCATTACTTCCTATACATTACAGATTCACTATCATTGATAATTTCTAAAGTATTTACAAAAACAAAGGTCAAAATTACCAGGATGTGTGACCTTTAGGGTCATGCAGAAGGGCTATTTACATCCCTTCTTACTATATTTATTATTTCTTACTATATTTATTATGTTATGTATTATTAAGAATTAATCTTATCAGTAATTATATAATTATCATCTCTGTACTGAAGCAAAGCATTGTGTCTGATTGCGTGAGAGACAGCTACATGTAGGTGAAAGGTCAGATTCCATCAATTAACTAAATTAGATGTTGTATTATGCCAGTTCTTGTAAGCAGTGTTTGTAGTAAGCAGTGTATTGTGCTGTTTTCTGTTTTTGTATTTTTGCTATTTAATCATTTTAATTCCTACTGGGGAATTTTTATGTGTTCTCAATAAACCTAAAATATTTTATGATGATATACATTCCCAGAAGTCCTTGTAACTCGCTGTCTCAAGGTTGAGATGAAGTATTCAATGATAAACAAGTTTGCTAATTTCCAGACATGTGAATTTATTTGTTATTATTAAGGTGTTTTTTTAATTTTACCCTACTACAGAACTGTCCCATGTGTGTCAGATAAAATCTAAACAGTGGATATTTGTTCACGTAAAAGCCAAAAATAACTTCTATACATGTAGACGCATGTCATCAATTGATTTCATTTCAAGTAATTAATGAGACATCAGTAGCACAAAAGGATACAACCACAAGTGGTTTGCCATGCAATAAATAACCATTTGTTTCTTTCACTGCTTTCTGTGCTTTCTTTTCGTTCGGCAAACCGATAAAAGCTTGACCTTTCATTCGACCTTCTTTCATTAGGCGCACATCAAACCTGAATAATAACAGCGAAATAAATTAAAAATTGCAACAACATATCTGTTACCATCAAATCAACATTAATTAATAGTTGATTATGAATCTGGGACGGAAGGCATGTAAAGGGAGAGAAGGGCAAATATAACTTCTATTATCATAACCCCGTTAGTTAACAAATTTAAGATATATAGTTTTGTTTATAGTAATATAGCTGGAATATAACCATGTCAGAAATATGATTTTTTAACATTAAAATGATTGACATTTGTATCTGATCGTCAAACAAGTACTTGTCCATATTGAGAGATATTGCTCTGGAACAGCATTCAAAATCAGCCATTTTGAATACATGTATATATATATAACATGATTTATAACGAATATATAAAATTTGAATATAATCAGTCAAAGCATTTAAGAGACATGGCTCTAGAAGCTCAATCATTAAAACAAAATGGCCGCCAGTCAGCCATTTTGAATCCAATCTGACAAATAAAATGACGTGCATCAGGAACCAGTAATGTCTAATGTATGTACCAAGTTTGACTGAAATCCATCCATAAATGCCAGAAATGCTTGATATTTGATGATTTTTTAGCACAAAAATGACCACCATTCGGCCATTTTGAATATGATCGTCGAACCAATATATCTGTTTATCTATGACATGATGTATAATGAATATTTAAAATTTGAACATAATCAGTCAAAACAAGTCAGAGATATGGCATGAGAACCACATTCATTAAAACAAAATGGCCTCCAGCCGGCCATTTTGAATCTTATCTGAAAAACAAAATTATTTGCATGAAGGGCCCATAATGTCTAATGTATATACAAAGTTTGAACAAAATCCATCTGTAAACAGCCGAGAAATGCTGGATTTTT